ACCCCTTGCACTTGGCTGCAGTCCCCCCCTCCACTCCACCCTGTGGGCACCACTCCCCATGCCTCCGCGCTCCCCACCAGAGCTTGTGCTGTCAGAAAGAGAGGGACGAAGAGAAGAGGGGAAGAAGAGTGGAGCACAGTTACACGGAGACATGAGTGGGTGTTCACCGAAGTAGAAGGTTTCACCTTTTACAACCATGAATAAAGGGAGAGTGGGTGCACGGGGAGTAAATACGACGTGAGACAGAAAAAAATACAGCTTTTCTCACGTAGTGTCGTATACCTACTAGGTTTCACTCCACATCCGATACCTCCTCCATCGCATCGCATCGCATACCATCCCATCCTAACCCATCCCATCTGAATCCATCCCACCCCAATCCATTTCATCCCAACACATCCCATCCCATTCCATACCATCTCATCCCCAATCTTTTCATCCCATCCCCATCCTCATCCCTAAATCCCATCCTATCCCATCCCCATCCCCATCCCCATCCCATCCCATCCCATCCCATCCCATCTCATCCCATCCCATCCCATCCCATCCCATCCCATTCCATCCCATCCCATCCCATCCCATCCCATCCCGTCCCATCCCATCCAATCACATCCCTTCGCATCAATCACACCTTTGCATCCAAAAATCGCACATCCAAGCCGCTCTCGTTCTCAGCATTCCCCTGAGTCACCTTGCAGCACGTCTATTGGCACGATGGGTCCTGCAGCGTGCACAGGGAGGCTCGCCAGGGAATGAAGCGCCAGCAGGGCGATGAGAAGCGGAAGAGACAGCAAGGAGCAGCTCGCAGAGCCCCGTGTCAATCTCCTCGATGCCGCAAAGCGTGCCGAGCTTGGCTTCATCTCAGCGGAAAGACCCAGCTCTCGGAACGTTGTGACCACGCCAGAAGTAGTAGCGGCGGAGGAGGTAGTGGTATTGTTGTAAAATTTGTGCTCTCGCGACTCGTAGGGACAAGCGGACAGAGAGTGGAATGGTTCTAGTAGGGCTTTCGATCTAAAGGAATTGGCGGCTTCTAAAAGTAATGAATGCGGATGGCTGCGCAAAGGACAAGACTAAACGTTTCAGATGGACCAAGAGGGGATGAATTTTGTGTGTTCTGGATTCTGGAAATTCTTGCAACAAAAAAGTCCGATTTCAAGAAAGGTTCCGCAATTGTAAGGAGCTGGAACAACGACCAAGGCTTGGGTCATGGCTCTCACACATTCGTCTGAATGCGGCTCAATGGGATTTTTTGCGTTGTACAACGGTCAATTAGAAGTCTACAGTGGTTGGGTAGGGTTATGAGCAGATGTGATCGTGTGGGACGTGCCGCGGAATCTGTGTGAAACGGAGGTCAAGCCAGGAGGACTCCTTTCATAAATTTGTTTTCCGTAGTTCTGCTTTCGTTTCGTTTCAAACAAAAAGTAGGGTCATGTACTGCGTTGCTTGTTGTAAAAGCTGATTGGTCTCTCCACGAATTCTTTAAACTCATCAAAGCTATACTGGAGTGTCAAAGTGTTTCAAAGAGACCACGCGTCAGTTTGGACTTAGGGGTTGGCAGAAGTGGGGGGGGGGGGGGGGGGGGGGGAAAGACGAGGGCTACCTGATATTAGAATGTTAATGCCAGCGAGATGCTGGAGGAAACTGGAAGGATGACGGGTCAGATCCAGCGAGGACAGAGATGCGAGCTCGACGACCCTTGACCATAACCGAAAAAAGGTTACTGTGTGGTGGCGAAATGTCGCAACAAATAAATACATAGCTGCGTGGGCGACATCATTTCCAACCGCCCTTCCGGAAGAGGAAGGAAAGAACATTGACGATCAAGACTTCGACGAACCTGTTTGGTCCCAGAGGAAGCCGTGACTCAGCACGTCTAGTCTTCGTAAAACAGAAAGCACATACTGGGACCAATACCATGTAGGGCGTGTGTCTTTCTGAGTGTATTGTAAGTTTATGTATTTTTTTTGTAACTTACACATTTGAACTCTGGTCGACTTGTAGTCGACTATCTCGACTTTTGGAAGTAGAATCGCAGCATCACCCTTTACACAACAAAGTTCGAGTAGCAAAAGTTCGACTTTATACAGTACGCATGCGAGTCGTTTCCTACTTTCGTAGGTTACCCGACTAATACGTAGTTCATGATCGAATCGGGATTCGGTAACACAGTAAATTGTATTTTGAGCGTGTCGAAGAAATCGCAGCTTCATCGCACGTGAGTAGAAAAACACACGATTTGATAAACGTGCGCATGAAAAATCGATCGCGAGGTCAACCCGAACTCAGTGTTGTAACGGTTTTCGAATCATCTAAAAAAAAATCATAAGACTCGCAAAACAATGCTAATGATATTTGCGAAGCCGATTACCAGCAAAAGTGTTACGAATGGTAATGTTTGAGACATTACTGTGCACTCCTAACCGCAGCTAAGGAAGCATGCAGTATCGAGAACGAATACGAGGAGTCAGAACTGACTCGAAGCGTCAGAACGGTTGGGGCGGATCCGGACCGTCGGAGAAGACGGTATCGGGCAGCTGCAGGCAAGAGGAATTGGCGGGAACAGTTTTCGCAACTGTACGCGCCGCACAGTTAAGAATGAATTTGAATAAGGGAATGTACCCCTTAGAGTACATGGCTAGCTAGGTCGATTCAAATTCCCTGTACTCCTATTTATATCGTTGTGTTTGCATGTTCGAATCAAAATCTCAAGCATTTTACATTCACTCTGCTATTGAGATCAAGGGCCCACCAACACTATCTAACTGCGTGCGAACCTTCCCGAGTAGATCCTGGGAGCGATCCCCTTTAGATCGCAGCATGGTATGAGAGCGGCTCGGGAATCCTTCGCACTGCCACTCCCGAAAATTGCGACATTCGGAAAGTGGCGTCCGGCACACGCTCGCGTGTGAGAATGGCCGGAGGATCTGGTGGTCAGACTAATCTGACGGCTGAAGCGCAAACCAGCCCGGCTGCGACAAGCGAGGGAACGACAACGATCGGTACCGAAGTCCTCGCACAACTGCTTCAGCGACTCACCAGCCTGGAGCAAGGGCTCCAAACATTGCGGAACGGCGATGCGGGAACAACTTCGCAACCCTCTCAACCGGCCCCAACTGGCCAGAACGCCGCCCTGCACACTTTCTCCCTCGCGCAAATGGTTCAACCCCCAAGGCTCCCCGTCCCAGTGAAGAGGCAATTCTCTCCGCGCAATCAAGGTTTCTCAGCATATCAAAAATAAAGACAAGTACCTGCTTTGACGGCAGAGATTTCTATACCTGGAGCTTCGAACTGGAGCTCCTGCTGCAGAACGCCCAAATCTTCCATTATTTCGACGGGAGCTACGCGGAACCCGCTGAGGACACCGACGACGCCAGAACTCGCTATTACAACGAGTCATTGATGGCGTACGGAGTCCTCCTGCGCAACATGTCGCCGGCGGAGCAGTTAAGCTTCCGTTCGTACAAGACATCGGCTGCTCCAGCCCTCGACGCTTGGCGCCACCTGAACGGTGTGTATCAGCCGAAGGACTCAGTCTCTTCGAGCCGGCTACTCCAGCAGTTACTGGAGACCAAAATGACCTCAGGGGAGAAGGTCAACAGCTACATCAATCGCTGTCGGAGCCTTCGCGACCAAATCGCGAAGTTGGGAAGTTCGATTTCGGAGGAAATCTTCGTGAACATCGTGCTTCAAGGGCTCGGCCCAGAGTGGCGGCCCTGCAAGGCGCTTCTCCGACAGCAGGGGGTCATCTCGGAGGCCGCCCTTTGCGCCGCCCTTCTCGTCGAACAACGGGATATGGATCAGCAGCGACCAGCGCCACGACGAGAACGTGAACGGCTCGCCTTCTACGCCGACAACACCGAAGAGCGACGGCCGCGGCGCCTCTACTGCAAGATCTGCATAAATTTTGGGCACCTGGCGGATCGATGTAAATTCCGATCTCGCCCTCGCCCGACCAATCCGAGCAACTGGTCCGGCCGACAAGACGCACGAGGCGACGTGCGTCCAGCCCAGGGGTATCAACCCTCACCCGGGCGCAACCTGAACTCAGCGGTTCAGCATCAGCATTAGCAGCCATCACCGACTGCCCCAGTTCGCAACGTCATGAGCAACATGGCCATGACAGGCGAGTCGCGTCGTCGCCGCGTGCGCTCACCTTCACCTGAGCCCGCACCCCATTGGCGCATTCAACAACAACAATCCGTTCAGTATGCGCCACGACTTCACCGACGACGACGACCAAGACTGGAATCTTCCAGTCCCGCTGCTTGAAAGTCCCCCGCACGTACCTGATATGCGGGTGGCGCCACTTGATTGGCTCTCGCGCGAACAATTTCTGAAGTTTGACACTCCGCATATCGTCACGCCGCGACTGGCGCTGCTCGCCCGTGACGACAACAAGCGCTACAACACCTGGTACTTGGACAGCTGCTGCGGCCAGCACATGGTGGGCTCCGAGCGTTACATATCCAACGCCGTCGCCACCCCCACAGTCACCTACGTCACCGTGGCTAACAACACACGCCTGCGCGCAAGCGCGCAAGGCATCGTCGTGCTCAAAGCACGCGGAAGCCGCACGCACATCACGCTCAACGATGTGCTGATCGTCCAGAACCTGCGCTTCAACCTTCTGTCCGCCGCACAGCTCATGGACTGCGGCGTCGAACTCAGCACAGATCGCGCGACGCGCGACATTCTGCTGCACTACGAATCGAGGGCCTTCCCCCGCAGGCAGATCGGAAGAGCACACTCCGAAAACGGAGTGTATGAGCCACGAGCACAAAGCATGGATCATCTTAGACTTACTCAGTCAGAAGACCACCCACGCTCGCAACATGATATTCTACGAACGCCTCTTCCTCGAACAGTTCTGCCACGACGAGTAGACAAATGCCCCCTCCCCTCCCATCCGCGCCCCTCTCCGCATTCCTTGCCCGCCCACCCTCCCTTTTCCACCACTACTCCCTTCTGTTCTCCCGCCCTCGCTCCTTGCCCATCAGTGCATGGGTGCGACGACCATCGGCGAATTTCGCAAGCACGTGGAGAAGGACAAGGCATTGGCTCGCCGCTTTCAACCCGTGGACGTCGCAGAGCCGTCGCAGGACGACGCGCTGCTCATCCTGCACGGCCTGCGCCGCCTCTACGAGCGCCACCACAAGTGCCACGTCAGTGACGACGCGCTCGTCGCGGCCGTCCAGCTTTCGGCGCGCTACATCCCGGATCGCTTCCTCCCGGACAAGGCGATCGATCTGGTCGACGAGGCCGCGAGCCGCGCCGTGATTGACGGGTTTAGGCGGAACCGGCAGCGCGAGACGAGCGTTCTGCACCGCGGGCCGGAGGAGTACTGGCGGGCTATCAGGGCCGCTCACGCGGCAATCAATGCGGTAAGACGATATACTAGTGAGTGGCATGGAGGGGGCGGGAGAGGGAGACGAGCGTGTTGCACAGGGGCCCGGAGGAGTACTGGCGGGCGTGAGCCTGGTGAGGGGTAGCGACGAAGGGGTAGCGACGAAGGGTTAGCGGTTAGCACACGTACAGTCTGGTTCAGGGACTGTATAGGAGGTGTGGCTTCCCATGGGGGCAACAAGTGGTTCAGAGTGCGACGACTTTTGAGTTGACTCAGAAGCTCAGGCACTCTCTGGCCCAGTAATTGTGGAGGAGGTGCAGTGCAGTTTCCCATGGGAGCAAGCAACGAGGGGGTTGGGTTGCGACGCGCAGAACGGATGTAATACACACAGCATCTTCATGCGTCGAATTCTGGGCTTTAAACTCGTCTATCTTGTCCATCACTCTCTCATGGTGGACTTGTGTGCAGGTGGAGGAGGTGCAGTCGCCCCTGGGGTCAGCAGGCGGCCCATCGGCATTCCTATCAGAGGACCCCAAGCCCGCTGCGCCTGCTGCCACCCCTTCCTGGTCTCCTGCTGGCGATGGCGATAGGTACGGCAATAGGTTCGGTGGCAGGTATGGGGATGATTACGTGCTCGAGTGTGGCCGACCGGTCTCATGGTCATCCGAAGCCAAGATAGCCCAGGTGCACAGGCACTACGAGTCATGCACAGCACACCCCAGCCATGTGCATGAACGACAGATCCAATCCCCTCATTTCTCCTCTAGACTTGTGGTTTTTGAGAGTTCTCAAAAACCAGCCATGTGTGAACGACAGATCCAATCCCCTCATTTCTCCTCTAGACTTGTGGTTTCCACGTGTAATGAGGTTGTTTTTGAGACGTCTCAAAAACAGATCCAATCCCCTCATTTCTCCTCTAGACTTGTGGCCATGACAGGCGAGTCGCGTCGTCGCCGCGTGCGCTCACCTTCACCTGAGCCCGCACCCCATTGGCGCATTCAACAACAACAATCCGTTCAGTATGCGCCACGACTTCACCGACGACGACGACCAAGACTGGAATCTTCCAGTCCCGCTGCTTGAAAGTCCCCCGCACGTACCTGATATGCGGGTGGCGCCACTTGATTGGCTCTCGCGCGAACAATTTCTGAAGTTTGACACTCCGCATATCGTCACGCCGCGACTGGCGCTGCTCGCCCGTGACGACAACAAGCGCTACAACACCTGGTACTTGGACAGCTGCTGCGGCCAGCACATGGTGGGCTCCGAGCGTTACATATCCAACGCCGTCGCCACCCCCACAGTCACCTACGTCACCGTGGCTAACAACACACGCCTGCGCGCAAGCGCGCAAGGCATCGTCGTGCTCAAAGCACGCGGAAGCCGCACGCACATCACGCTCAACGATGTGCTGATCGTCCAGAACCTGCGCTTCAACCTTCTGTCCGCCGCACAGCTCATGGACTGCGGCGTCGAACTCAGCACAGATCGCGCGACGCGCGACATTCTGCTGCACTACGAATCGAGGGCCTTCCCCCGCAGGCAGATCGGAAGAGCACACTCCGAAAACGGAGTGTATGAGCCACGAGCACAAAGCATGGATCATCTTAGACTTACTCAGTCAGAAGACCACCCACGCTCGCAACATGATATTCTACGAACGCCTCTTCCTCGAACAGTTCCGCCACGACGAGCAGACAAATGCGAACCGCGTCTACGCGAACGACGGGCACAGCTACGCAACACCCGAGGACGAAGCCGCCGCAGCAATTCTGGAGCAAGACACCAGGGGCGAGTTCACATGGGGAGATCGCCACAGCAGCGACGACGACGACCCCTCTGAAGGAGGAATGGGCGGAACGGGCGGAAGCGGCAGAGGCGCAGCGCCACCAGCACCACCTGAGTCAGAGAGCGATGACGATGACGTGCAGGAAGTCGTCCCGCAGCATCGCCACGACAGCACCATCTCTGGGCTGCAGCTGCTCGGGCTCCACACCGCAACCTCGAAAGCGCCACGTGTCATCGAGCCACGAAACCCGCGCCAAGCTCTCACTGGACCACACAGCAAGGAATGGCGCGAGGCGATGGGCGCGGAGATTAAAGCACTCGAATCCCGAGATACCTGGGTGCTAGTCGACCGCGCAGCAATCAAAGGCGCGAGAATTCTCTCGGGAAAATGGGTCTTCCGCGTGAAGACCGCAGCAGACAGAACAATCGAGCGCTTCAAGGCAAGATGGGTGGTGCGCGGCTACGACCAAAGGCAGGCACGGGATCGATTTCGATCAGACATTTGCTCCGGTCAGCCGCCACACCTCCGTCCGAATCCTGCTCGCCATCGCAACCGCTCGACACCTGCCTCTACGCCAGATCGACGTGAAGAACGCATTCATGTACGCGTTAGTAGACGCCGTCATCTACGTGGAGCAGCCCCACACATACGGCGAAGGGGATTCGCACGTATGCCAGCTGCGCAAGTCTCTTTACGGGATAAAACAGGCACCGAGGCTTTGGCAGCAGTATCTACACAACATCCTGCTTGAAATCGGGTTCAAGCAGATGCCGCACGATCCTGGAATGTACCGCCGTGATTTCAGGGGCGAATACATTCTGCTCATAGTCTACGTCGACGACTTACTTTACACAGGCTCAAGCAACGAACTACTGAAGCAGTTCGAAAGGAGTCTAGCGAGCCGTGTCGATATCACCTGCAACTACGAAGTGAAGCAATTCTTAGGCCTGAACGTCTCCTACACGTCCGAGGCCATTCACCTCTCAGCGGCTAAGTACGCAGAGGAGTTAGGGAAGCGGTTCAACATCTCACCTGCACCGCTCTCCACTCCCTACCGAACTCCCGGACCGAACCACAAACCTGACAACAAAGCCCTATCCCCTGCTGGCATTCAGACTTACCAGCAGCAGCTGGGATGCCTGCTCTTTGCCTCTGTCATGTGCAGACCTGACCTCTCCTACATCGCAAGTCAGCTGGCCCAGTACTCACGCAAACCAACGGCTGAGAATCTTCTGGACCTGCAGCGCGCCTTGCAGTTCCTCATTTCAACGCCTAAGATCGGGTTGTGCTACTCAACTGCACCAACCCCATCCTTCAACCTCATCGGCTACGTGGATGCCGATCACGCAGCAGACCCCGATAATCGACGGTCCAGGTTTGGCTTCCTGTTCCGACTCGAACCAACGACACCAATCTCCTGGAATTCGCAGAAGCAGGAGTTGGTTGCCCTGTCATCAGCCGAAGCGGAATTCATCGCAGCAACTGCAGCAGTTCGCGAAGGGCTCTACTTGCAGGAACTTCTACAGGAGGCGAAGATTCCAGTTTCACTCACCTTTCGCCTCCACTGCGACAACCAGAGCGCGATTCGCATCGCGAACAAACCTGGCTTCGTCAACCGCACCAAGCACATTGCGCTGCGGTATTTCTTCGTCAAGGACGAAGTGGACAAGGGCAAGGTTGACTTGACCTATTGCCCGACCGGTGACATGGCAGCAGACTTCCTCACAAAGCGACTGCCACGCCAGCAGTATCAGCACTGTTCCGAACTCAGCGGAGTGGTCAAGCAGGTCAAGTCGAGCTACGGCCAGGAGTGAAGGGGGGTGTTACAAATGGTAATGGTTGAGACATCACTGTACACTCCTAACCGCAGCTAAGGAAGCATGCAGTATCGAGAACGAATACGAGGAGTCAGAACTGACTCGAAGCGTCAGAACGGTTGGGGCGGATCTGGACCGTCGGAGCAGACGGCATCGGGCAGCTGCAGGCAAGAGGAATTGGCGGGAACAGTTTCGCAACTGTACGCGCCGCACGGTTAAGAATGAATTTGAATAAGGGAATGTACCCCTTAGAGTACATGGCTAGCTAGGTCGATTCAAATTCCCTGTACTCCTATTTATATCGTTGTGTTTGCATGTTCTAATCAAAATCTCAAGCATTTTACATTCACTCTGCTATTGAGATCAAGGGCCCACCAACACTATCTAACTGCGTGCGAACCTTCCCGAGTAGATCCTGGGAGCGATCCCCTTTAGATCGCAGCAAAAAGTTCGACCGTAGTTTCGAACATCTACACCAAAAGACACACACCTTTATACCTCTGAATGAAGACACACATTAGGGCACTAAAACTGGTTTTGGGCCACCCAGTCAAATCAGGGTGCCATAAAAGCTTTCCCTGACAGCTAGAGTTAGACGATAGGTTACACTGTCGAAATTAGGGTGTTTTACTAGACACACCGATTGTGCATGAATAAATTTTCATACACCCTATCTCAATGTATAACAAACCTTGATGATTTTTTTATCATGCATGTCAGTGGTGCAAATATAATGTATACAATGGGAGCTTGACCATGGGGGAAGGCACGGTTGCGGGAGTGATCTCTGCGTTCCTTAGCGTTTGCTCGTGTTCTCTCTACGCACACATTCACGGGGAGAATTGGCAAGAGTTTCACTAGCAAAAGTTGTGAACAATGGTTTAGAATAATAGCAACAACATTGGCAAAGTTGACTACATCAGAAGCAAGCGATAGCATTAACGTGGACCGTTGAAGACTCAGGCGACTGCCATAGAGGTAGCGCGACCCATTTACCGCCGCTTTGCATAGTGCAGTTGTCTGTCGTCCAGTCATTTCATGAGTTGTAACGTCGCAGCTAAACACGTCCCAGTAAAATGTCGATCCCATCCAAAGTTAATGCGAACATTTCCTGTGTAAATCCAAACATTCCCCCACAGTGAATCTTCACTCTCTCCATTTTCTCCCATATTGCGAGTGGCGTGCTGTCAACCAGCAGTGCATCAATCTCTGGTAAGCAGCGACTAAGTGTAAATTGCAATTTCCTTGCGGTTGCAATATAGATTAAATTGCGACTAGCCCCTCCGTCCCCTGTAATTTTCCATGAATCAGTACTGGGCAATCTGACGCTGTACCCTCCTTATTCAATAAATTGTGTGAATCGATACAGTCACTCAGTGAGGGTCAGTGGGGTCGGGCGAGCAGTGAGTCTCATAAGTAGTGGGCCCGTCCTCTACAAGCAGCTGGCATTTCCTTGCCTGCCAGACTCCTTCCCCTGCTCTTCTCCTCAGCGCTTTAGCTCCTCTAGGCATTCGCTCTTGCGATGGCGTAGCCTGTTGCATGCGAAGCAGCACCCCCTTAAATGGCGTGAAACCTGCTTTTGTCGCAACGCCATGAATTGTGGCGTGCTCGGTCATTCCTCGAGTACATTGTCCGTGATGGTAGGACCACAGCCTTGGTCATTGTAAGATGTCGATTTTCTCGGCGAGCACCAGAATTTTCTTGAAGTTCGAGATCTTGAGTAGGACAATTTCTTGCACAATTTGTAGCTTCAAGCCGCTGATGAAGCGATCCACTCGCTCCACTTCGTGCATGTAGCTGACTTGTTTGCATAGCGCGAGAAAATCGCTGGTGTAGTCTTTGTGGAGATTCACTTTACACCGGTGGGAGCTAGAATATGGGGAAGGCACGGGTGGTATAAGTGATCGCAACATTTTCTCGTGTTCTCTCTACTTGCTCATTCACGGTGAAAGTTGGCAATGGTTTCACTAGCAAAAAAAGATTACACAATGTTAGGATGTGCAACGGCAAAAGGTGACTACAACTAGGACCTAGCTGCCTAGCAACCAGGCGGGTCGATCTCCAGCACAGCACGGGGCCGGCTTGCCAGTATAGTAGGTCTATGGTGTACCAACACTACTCGGAGGCG